TGGGGCTGACTGCTGTGTGTGGGGCTGACTGCTGGGTGTGGGGCTGACTGCTGGGTGTGGGGCTGGTGTAGGGCTGACTGCTGGGTGTGGGGCTGACTGCTGTGTGTGGGGCTGACTGCTGGGTGTGGGGCTGGTGTGGGGCTGACTGCTGTGTGTGGGGCTGACTGCTGGGTGTGGGGCTGACTGCTGGGTGTGGGGCTGACTGCTTGATGTGGGGCTGGTGTGGGGCTAATGTGGGGCTGAATGCTGGGTGTGGGGCTGACTGCTGGGTGTGGGGCTGGGTGTGGGGCTGACTGCTGGGTGTGGGGCTGACTGCTGGGTGTGGGGCTAGGTGTGGGGCTGAATATGGGGCTGACTGCTGGGTGTGGGGCTGACTGCTGGGTGTGAGGCTGGGTGTGGGGCTGACTGCTGGGTGTGGGGCTGACTGCTGGGTGTGGGGCTGGGTGTGGGGCTGACTGCTGGGTGTGGGGCTGACTGCTGGGTGTGGGGCTGGTGTGGGGCTGGTGTGGGGCTGACTGTTGGGTGTGGGGCTAGGTGTGGGGCTGACTGCTGTGTGTGGGGCTGACTGCTTGATGTGGGGCTGGTGTGGGGCTGGTGTGGGGCTGACTGTTGGGTGTGGGGCTAGGTGTGGGGCTGGGTGTGGGGCTGACTGCTGGGTGTGGGGCTGACTGCTGGGTGTGGGGCTGGGTGTGGGGCTGACTGCTGGGTGTGGGGCTGGTGTGGGGCTGACTGCTGGGTGTGGGGCTGACTGCTGGGTGTGGGGCTGACTGCTGGGTGTGGGGCTGACTGCTGGGTGTGGGGCTGACTGCTGGGTGTGGGGCTGGGTGTGGGGCTGGGTGTGGGGCTGACTGCTGGGTGTGGGGCTGGTGTGGGGCTGACTGCTGGGTGTGGGGCTGGTGTGGGGCTGACTGCTGGGTGTGGGGCTGACTGCTGGGTGTGGGGCTGACTGCTGGGTGTGGGGCTGGTGTGGGGCTGACTGCTGGGTGTGGGGCTGACTGCTGGGTGTGGGGTTGGTGTGGGGCTGACTGCTGGGTGTGGGGCTGGTGTGCGGCTGACTGCTGTGTGTGGGGATGGTGTGGGGCTGACTGCTGTGTGTGGGGCTAACTGCTGTGTGTGGGGCTGACTGCTGGGTGTGGGGCTAGGTGTGGGGCTGGTGTGGGGCTGACTGCTGTGTGTGGGGCTGACTGCTGGGTGTGGGGCTGACTGCTGGGTGTGGGGCTGACTGCTGGGTGTGGGGCTGACTGCTGGGTGTGGGGCTGGTGTGGGGCTGACTGCTGGGTGTGGGGCTGACTGCTGGGTGTGGGGCTGACTGCTGGGTGTGGGGCTGACTGCTTGATGTGGGGCTGGTTTGGGGCTGACTGCTGGGTGTGGGGCTGACTGCTGGGTGTGGGGCTGACTGCTGGGTGTGGGGCTAGGTGTGGGGCTGACTGCTGTGTGTGGGGCTGGTGTGGGGCTGACTGCTGGGTGTGGGGCTGACTGCTGGGTGTGGGGCTGACTGCTGGGTGTTTGGCTGACTGCTGGGTGTGGGGCTGACTGCTGGGTGTGGGGCTGGGTGTGGGGCTGGGTGTGGGGCTGGGTGTGGGGCTGACTGCTGGGTGTGGGGCTGGTGTGGGGCTGACTGCTGGGTGTGGGGCTGGTGTGGGGCTGACTGCTGGGTGTGGGGCGGACTGCTGACAGCTGACTGCTGGGTGTGGGGCTGGGTGTGGGGCTGGGTGTGGGGCTGACTGCTGGGTGTGGGGCTGGTGTGGGGCTGACTGCTGGGTGTGGGGCTGACTGCTGACAGCTGACTGCTGGGTGTAGGCTGACTGCTGGGTGTGAGGCTGACTGCTGGGTGTGGGGCTGGTGTGGGGCTGACTGCTGTGTGTGGGGCTGACTGCTGGGTGTGGGGCTGACTGCTGGGTGTGGGGCTGGTGTGGGGCTGACTGCTGGGTGTGGGGCTGACTGCTGTGTGTGGGGCTGACTGCTGGGTGTGGGGCTGGTGTGGGGCTGACTGCTGTGTGTGGGGCTGACTGCTGGGTGTGGGGCTGACTGCTGGGTGTGGGGCTGACTGCTTGATGTGGGGCTGGTGTGGGGCTGGTGTGGGGCTGACTGCTGGGTGTGGGGCTGACTGCTGGGTGTGGGGCTGGTGTGGGGCTGGGTGTGGGGCTGACTGCTGGGTGTGGGGCTGACTGCTGGGTGTGGGGCTAGGTGTGGGGCTGAATATGGGGCTGACTGCTGGGTGTGGGGCTGACTGCTGGGTGTGAGGCTGGGTGTGGGGCTGACTGCTGGGTGTGGGGCTGGGTGTGGGGCTGACTGCTGGGTGTGGGGCTGACTGCTGGGTGTGGGGCTGGTGTGGGGCTGGTGTGGGGCTGACTGTTGGGTGTGGGGCTAGGTGTGGGGCTGACTGCTGTGTGTGGGGCTGACTGCTTGATGTGGGGCTGGTGTGGGGCTGGTGTGGGGCTGACTGTTGGGTGTGGGGCTAGGTGTGGGGCTGGGTGTGGGGCTGACTGCTGGGTGTGGGGCTGACTGCTGGGTGTGGGGCTGGGTGTGGGGCTGACTGCTGGGTGTGGGGCTGGTGTGGGGCTGACTGCTGGGTGTGGGGCTGACTGCTGGGTGTGGGGCTGACTGCTGGGTGTGGGGCTGACTGCTGGGTGTGGGGCTGGTGTGGGGATGACTGCTGGGTGTGGGGCTGACTGCTGGGTGTGGGGCTGACTGTTGGGTGTGGGGCTGACTGCTGTGTGTGGGGCTGACTGCTGGGTGTGGGGCTGGTGTGGGGCTGACTGTTGGGTGTGGGGCTGACTGTTGGGTGTGGGGCTGACTGCTTGATGTGGGGCTGGTGTGGGGCTGGTGTGGGGCTGACTGTTGGGTGTGGGGCTGACTTCTGGGTGTGGGGCTGACTGCTGGGTGTGGGGCTGGTGTGGGGCTGACTGTTGGGTGTGGGGCTAGGTGTGGGGCTGGGTGTGGGGCTGGGTGTGGAGCTGACTGCTGGGTGTGGGGCTGACTGCTGGGTGTGGGGCTAGGTGTGGGGCTGGGTGTGGAGCTGACTGCTGGGTGTGGGGCTGACTGCTGGGTGTGGGGCTGACTGCTGGGTGTGGGGCTGACTGCTGGGTGTGGGGCTGGTGTGGGGCTGACTGTTGGGTGTGGGGCTAGGTGTGGGGCTGGGTGTGGAGCTGACTGCTGGGTGTGGGGCTGACTGCTGGGTGTGGAGCTGACTGCTGGGTGTGGGGCTGACTGCTGGGTGTGGGGCTGACTGCTGGGTGTGGGGCTGGGTGTGGAGCTGACTGCTGGGTGTGGGGCTGACTGCTGGGTGTGGGGCTGACTGCTGGGTGTGGGGCTGACTGCTGGGTGTGGGGCTGACTGCTGGGTGTGGGGCTGACTGCTGGGTGTGGGGCTGACTGTTGGGTGTGGGGCTAGGTGTGGGGCTGGTGTGGGGCTGGGTGTGGAGCTGACTGCTGGGTGTGGGGCTGACTGCTGGGTGTGGGGCTGAGTGCTGGGTGTGGGGCTGACTGCTGGGTGTGGGGCTGACTGCTGGGTGTGGGGCTGACTTCTGGGTGTGGGGCTGACTGCTGGGTGTGGAGCTGACTGCTGGGTGTGGGGCTGACTGTTGGGTGTGGGGCTGGTGTGGGGCTGGTGTGGGGCTGACTGCTGGGTGTGGGGCTGACTGTTGGGTGTGGGGCTGGTGTGGGGCTGGTGTGGGGCTGACTGTTGGGTGTGGGGCTGGTGTGGGGCTGACTGCTGGGTGTGGGGCTGGTGTGGGGCTGGGTGTGGAGCTGACTGCTGGGTGTGGGGCTGACTGCTGGGTGTGGGGCTGACTGCTGGGTGTGGGGCTGACTGTTGGGTGTGGGGCTAGGTGTGGGGCTGGTGTGGGGCTGGGTGTGGGGCTGACTGCTGGGTGTGGAGCTGACTGCTGGGTGTGGGGCTGACTGTTGGGTGTGGGGCTAGGTGTGGGGCTGGTGTGGGGCTGGGTGTGGAGCTGACTGCTGGGTGTGGGGCTGACTGCTGGGTGTGGGGCTGACTGCTGGGTGTGGGGCTGACTGCTGGGTGTGGGGCTGACTGCTGGGTGTGGGGCTGACTGCTGGGTGTGGGGCTGGTGTGGAGCTGACTGCTGGGTGTGGGGCTGACTGCTGTGTGTGGGGCTGGGTGTGGGGCTGACTGCTGGGTGTGGGGCTGGTGTGGGGCTGGGTGTGGGGCTGGGTGTGGGGCTGACTGCTGTGTGTGGGGCTGGGTGTGGGGCTGACTGCTGGGTGTGGGGCTGGTGTGGGGCTGGGTGTGGGGCTGACTGCTGGGTGTGGGGCTGACTGCTGGGTGTGGGGCTGACTGCTGGGTGTGGGGCTGACTGCTGGGTGTCGGGCTGACTGCTGGGTGTCGGGCTGACTGCTGGGTGTCGGGCTGACTGCTGGGTGTGGGGCTGGTGTGGGGCTGGGTGTGGGGCTGACTTCTGGGTGTGGGGCTGACTTCTGGGTGTGGGGCTGACTGCTGGGTGTGGGGCTGGGTATGGGGCTGACTGCTGGGTGTGGGGCTGGTGTGGGGCTGACTGCTGTGTGTGGGGCTAGGTGTGGGCTGACTGCTGTGTGTGGGGCTGGTGTGGGGCTGACTGCTGTGTGTGGGGCTGGGTGTGGGGCTGACTGCTGGGTGTGGGGCTAACTAATCGTTCTGTCTACAGTCGTCACTGATTTGTCTAAACTGCGCCAACCAATGCCTTGAAATAACACTTTACGCCAGAATCAACAACCTCCAATCCTAGTCGGATAATAAAACATTCAAAAAAATTAAGTGTAAAATCTCAGACTCCGGCCCCACCCACCCACAAACCAACTTTATGAGTTCAAGTAGAGCTGTGTCAGTCTGAAGACCGTTCTGTGGCTATGTCTAGAGTCTGGATGTTTAGAAGGCTCGTAGATCTACTTCTTGCAGTGATTGGTATTGTTTTTATTTAACCGTGTTTTGCTTTAGTTTTTTTAATAAAATATATAACAAAGCGACCGATTCTAGTTTAGTAAAAAGGGATCGTAAACTACTACCAGTTGGATGACATCTGAAGAAACTCGAGTGCTAGTGTGTTCTAGTGCGAAAACTTGCAATATTTGGAGTCCATCTTGATGGTAAAACACTGGATCACTACGTCAGTGAAATTTGTGCTCCATTCATTGCACCGTGTGCATCATGCGCTGTGAAACTTGGGTGCGAATTTTGATTTGTGCGCAGTTCATTGGTTTGGTTGGCCAATACAAATTTTAGATTTGAAAGCAACGAAACAAACCGTGCAAACCACATGGTCTTCGTCAAACGGCTGCCATTCCCTTTCAAGTTATTTCCACAGTTCTAGTAGACCAATGTTTACACGATAGTTCATGCTAGTTCATAATTTTAGATTTGCGTGTGTTTCTTCAATTTTTTTTATACAGCGTGTAGTTCCGGTGTGAACAGTGCTCACTTGAATCAAATAACTATCAGCCGCGTCTAAGGGAGTGATGCGTGACTCTGTCTATGAATGTGTGTGTATGTGTGGTGGTGGGGTGTGTGTGTGTGTGTGTGTGTGTGTGAGAAAGGTGGTTCAGACTTAAATCATTCAACTGTAGGTGGCGCTAAGTTAAGTTTATTCTGTGACCTTGTTAATGAGAAAAAAACAACAATAAAAAAAAAACCACCACTAAAACAGGAAACAAATCAAAACAATCTATCAATGATAGATTCTTTATTGTAAAAATGTATGGTAAGACATATGTAGCAATAATCACATAGAAATGTAGCAACAGCTACACATACAGGTAGCAATAGCTAGACAGATGTAGCAATTATAATCACACAACCCGCCGGCAGGTTAATGAGTAATTATTGTTTCGACCTCAAGTATAATTAGACATACATGCATTCATACATACAGAGACATACATTGACATCCACGCATACATTCTCAAATATATACATACGCCGCAATTCACACGTATACACGCATGCATGTGTTCCCAAATATACACAAACGCATATATTCACACATACACACACGCATACCTTGACACATACACACGCTTACATTCACACATACATACACGCATACATTGACTATATGCACATACGCCTACATTGACACAAACACTGTGCTACACAAACGTCACGCTTCCATGACTTGCTAAACACACTTCACTGACTTGCTAAACCCACTTCACTGACTTGCTAAACACACTTCACTGACTTGCTAAACACACTTCACTGACTTGCTAAACACACTTCACTGACATACACTCCGTGTTTACCCTGACATACAATTGGATGTTTTGATTTTCTTAGAGCAACAGCAAAAAGAAACTAATCTAAAAAAACTTTTTTAAAAATTGGGAGCCTTGTGCGCATATATGTGTGTGTGTGTTTCTGTCAATCTGTCCCGGGGGGGGGGGGGGGGGGGGGAGGGGGGGGGGCGAACGGTTGAAAGTATTATTTTGAGATGAAAAGTTTTAGAATGTGCTGATGAATTGATTTGGATGACCTAGAGATGGGTGGAGTAGATTCACTGTCTGCAAATATATTAGTGCAATTGATGTTAGTGGATTGTATACGGGTGGTTTATGTGGTGGATTGTATACGGGTGGTTTATGTGGTGGATTGTATACGGGTGGTTTATGTGGTGGATTGTGTGGGTGGCTCATGTGGGTGGCTTCAATGGTGGATTATTTGTGGGTGGCTGGGATGGTGGATTGTCCTTGAACTTAAAGGACATTATTCACTTGTCAGTCGTGAGTTTGGGAAGGAGGGGGGGGGGGGGTAGTGAGGTGTTTGTGTTTTTTGGGAGGGGGCGGGTTAGTGAGGTGTTTTTTGGGAGGGTGGGGGTTTAGTGAGGTGTTTGTGTTTTTTGGGAGGGGGGGGGTCTAAAGTAGTCTCGTTTGACAGACTGATACAGTCTGTCATACAGTCTGTCAAGTCATGCGTGAATTAAGTTGAAACACGTGGTAATTGCAATCAGCCAAATATTAATTGCTTTAGACAGGAAGCTAATTAATTTAGGACAGATGTCTATTAGCTAGACAAAATTAGCTAACGGTATATGCAAATGCACTTTTAACATATTTTAAATATTTTATAACTCCGTTAACTTATCATAACCATCAACACAACGTTTTATACACACGTTAAATGTAGGTCAAATGTTAACAAAATGTAAGGAAAATGTTGACAAAAAATACACATTTACAAATCACGAGTATTTGTTTTGGTTCACTATTGCACAGTAGTGTAGTGTCAGTAGTAATGTCATGTCAGTAGTAATGTCATGACAGTTGTAATGTCATGACAGTTGTAATGTCATGTCAGTAGTAATGTCATGACAGTAGTAATGTCATGACAGTAGGAGTGTCACCATACATGAGTGAAAGAATCGCGAACTTAAGGCTAACTTGCCATTTGACTGAGGGTAAAAAAAAATCATTCAACCATGACTTGATATGTCATTGATGGAAGATGATGTCATTAGACAAAAAAATGTTGATATGTCATTTGTTCAAGGGTTGATATGACATTTGACTACAAATCAAACTTCATTTTTCATTAAGATTTTTAAAATGTCAAAGCTTAAAATACATAAAATGCAACTTTTTAAAATTAAAATATATATCTAGATCTATATAATATATCAATTTGGTTTTCGTTGCTAAAGCATTGGAAACGAAAGCAGGGAGGTAACTATTGTAAACTTCGTGCGGGGATTAATTCTGCAGTTACTTCCCCTGCAGCGAAATGTTAAAAATTTGAGACATGCAATGTTTACATTACGGCTGGAAATTATGATCGTCTTTACATATCCTCCTGCCAAATATTTTTATGGAAAAAAAAGAACATTGTGTACATATAAGAATATCAGCGTGGTAAGGGTCGAGTCATATTTATAGGTGTCATAAAATTGGTGAGGTTTAAGTCATATTTATAAGTGTCAGCAAAAAATGTACATAAATATTTGTCTACAAAAATAATTTATAAACAAAAATGGTTCCAAGATAATTAAACTCCGTCAAAGTTGAGCAATAAGTTGGACAAGGAAACTTGGTATCACTTGCTAGATTGTCACATGTCACTTTCTCGAGTTGTCACTTTCACGAGTTGTCACTTTCACGAGTTGTCACTTTCACGAGTTGTCCTAGATTGGGCATGAGCAGCAGTCAAACTTGTCTTGTGGAGTTTCTCTAGCAGACGACAGAACGTTCACTCCTTGACACACGAGCAGCAGACGGCCGTGTTGTCGGTAGCAGGGTCAAGGCCGCCGTACGTCACAATCTTGGAGCTGGAGGATTTCTTCCTGGGCAGGTCATCCTGCCGCAGGTCATCCTGCCGCAGGTCCGGAAGTTTCTCCTCCTCCACCTCCCCCATGCTGCGCAGGCTCCGGCCGCTCTCGTTGCGTGCGCCGGACAGCCGGCGCGGGAACTCATGCGGCACGCAGATCTCGTGGTCCGAGTTGGCCCGCCCCCGCACGATGCTGGTCAGCTCCCGGCGGGTCAGCTTGCTGCGGAACACATACACCAGCGGGTTGCAGGCGCAGCTGAACATGGCCAGAACCGTGGACACGTGGGACGTGATGGGCAGCAGGGGCGAGGCCCGGCCCAGGCCCGCCTCCACCGCCATCACCACAAAGTACGGCGCCCAGCAGAGGGCGAAGCTGAAGAGGACGAGGAAGCTGGTGACGGCTGTCTTCCACTCCTCCTTCCTCCACAGCAGGGAGGAGGAGCGGCTGGAGGACTGGCTCAGGCGCCGTATAATAGGGGCGGAGCTGCTCCGTCGTCTCGAGTTGATGGGCGTGTTCTGCTGCTGGGTGTCGTCTGATTGGTTGGTGGAGGCGGAGTTGACCCGGACGACGCTGTTGCGCCGCGCCCTGACGATGTTGCCGTGGGCGGCCCGGAACATCTTGGCGTAGGTCCAGAAGATGGCGCCCAGCGGCAGGACGAAGCTGCAGCTGATCAGGAAACACGTGTAGTAGCGGTCAAAGCGCGTGCTGCTGTACCACGTGACCGTGCACACCATCTTGTCCAGCTGGTACTCGATGGCGTTCCAACCCATCAGGGGCGGGGCTGAGATAAGCACCGCCCCCGCCCATATACAGACTATCAACAAAGTGCATCGTCTGCTGGTGAGGCGCATGGAGTAGTGTAGGGGCGTGACCACAGCACAGTACCGGTCCACGGAGATGACTACCAGCGTGAAGATGCTGGCACTGACGATGACGTTCATCATGAAGCCTGTAGCCTGGCACCAGAAGGCACCAAAGACCCAGTCTTTGAGCACCAGCGACGTGAAGGCGAACGGCATGATGCACACCGTACTCAGACAGTTGCCGATCGTCAGGTTCGCGACGAACCGGTTCGACATGGAGATCGACTTGCGCTTGCAGAAGACGACGAAGACGAAAGCGTTGGCCAGCAAACTGGCCAGGAAGACAGAGGCCAACAGCGTGCCCATGATGGTCGTCTCTGTGGTAGAGATCTGGGTGCTGTTGGCCGGCGTGACGTCATTTGGTGGGGGAGGGGCGGCCGTGTCGTTGACGCTGCCTATGATGACAAGACGAACGTGCTCCTGTAAGGCATCTGTCAGTGACACCATATCATCTGTCAGTGACACCATAATATCACACAATCAAACATCCACGCAGTCAGATACATTGATTTACTCTCCCAGTCACTAGAGTATCCAGTTGATCCATAGAAACACCAAGCTAGTGTCGCCTGTATCCACACAGGCCATGTTATCCACAGAAAGTTATCCACAAAACAACACCCAGAATCACTGCACTTTATCCCGATGTGTTTCTACCTCCAGTGTATCTCGTCTAAATATCCACGGCTCTATGGCGGTGACGTATGTAAACACGGGTCACGTGACAGCTATATTTAGATCACTCGCAATTCTCGCGCAATCAAATAGGTCTGTGTTGTAAACATAAATAATCCTTTCTGCTCACTCTCTGTCTCGTCGTGTCCGACGGTCTGGCATGGCAGACGTCTAGTGCCACAACTGAGAGAGAAAATTCCTGCACGTGAAAAAGTCTGGTCTGAGAAAATTTGAGCGGGTTGTAAAATGTGTGAACTCACGTCCAGTGAACTCTGCGAATCTCCTCCCTCCACGGGGCTCCCACCAGATCTGCCTGACGCTCACCCCCCCTCCCCTCCCGGCCAGTTGTGAAGCGTGAGTACACAGCACGCGCGCGCAGTGAGCAGGGGGGCGGGCGCTCGATGCACGTGCGTTTGGTCTGTTTTCTGGATCTCTGGTGCCAGACAGGAACCGTAGAGTCGTCTGCCGGCTCACGGCTGCCGGTCCTTTTGTCTGCCGGCTGAGAATGTTCTAGAACCTCATGCCGGCTGAGAACTGCAAGTCTTTTCCTCCCAGATTGTTCTAGAACCGGTTCTCCCCGTCGGTTCCACCAAAAACCAGAACCTCGTTTGCTGACTGTGGATGGAAAGAAAGATGATTAATTGATTAACCTAATTAGCCAAGCATCGTTACCGCTAACTTAAATTTAATTAATGAGGTTGGACATTTTTATTTCGCTGAGAAATTGGAGCACCTCGCCTAAATAAAAACAGGTGTGTGTGTGTATATGTGTGTGTATGTGTAAGTGTGTGTTGTGTATGTGTATGTGTTCAACTGCCGGATGTTTGGCCTACACTAGCTACACATAGGTAGTGTACTTTAACACACACACCCAAACACCCCCACTCCCACAAAAAAAACGATTACAGGTAGTGTACTCACTCACTCACCCACACACCCCACCCCTCTCTCCACACACACACAAAACGCCGGAATTTCTGGGTCGAGCCCCGCACTTTGTGAAGGTGTGAAATCTGTGAGGGTCTCCACATCTGATGTATCTCGTTCTTATCGCTGGGTATTAAAAAGCGCTGAGTGCTCAGCCAGAATTATCTCCCGGCTAGACAAACTGACGTCTCTTTCATCGTTCATAGACAGACTTCCTTTTTATTATACAGACAACATACAGACAACATACAGACAATATACAGACAACATACAGATAACAGACAACATACAGACAACATACAGAAAACATACAGAAAACATACAGACAACATACAGACAACATACAGACAACATACAGACAACATACAGACAACATACAGACAACATACAGACAACACACAGACAACATACAGACAACATACAGACAACATACAGACAACATACAGACAACATACAGACTTCCTAAACAGACAACATACAGACAACATACAGACAACATACAGACTTCCTAAACAGACAACATACAGACAACATACAGACAACATATAGACAACATACAGACAACATACAGACAACATACAGACAACATACAGACAACATACAGACAACATACAGACAACATACAGACAACATACAGACAACATACAGACTTCCTAAACAGACAACATACAGACAACATACAGACAACATACAGACAACATACAGACAACACACAGACAACACACAGACAACATACAGACAACATACAGACTTCCTAAACAGACAACATACAGACAACATACAGACAACATACAGACTTCCTAAACAGACAACATACAGACAACATACAGACAACATACAGACAACATACAGACTTCCTAAACAGACAACATACAGACAACATACAGACAACATACAGACTTCCTAAACAGACAACATACAGACAACATACAGACAACATACAGACAACATACAGACAACACACAGACAACACACAGACAACATACAGACAACATACAGACTTCCTAAACAGACAACATACAGACAACATACAGACAACATACAGACTTCCTAAACAGACAACATACAGACAACATACAGACAACATACAGACAACATACAGACTTCCTAAACAGACAACATACAGACAACATACAGACAACATACAGACTTCCTAAACAGACAACATACAGACAACATACAGACAACATACAGACAACATACAGACTTCCTAAACAGACAACATACAGACAACATACAGACAACATACAGACAACATACAGACTTCCTAAACAGACAACATACAGACAACATACAGACAACATACAGACAACATACAGACAACATACAGACAACATACAGACAACATACAGACAACATACAGACAACATACAGACAACATACAGACAACATACAGACAACATACAGACAACATACAGACAACATACAGACAACATACAGACAACATACAGACAACATACAGACAACATACAGACAACATACAGACAACATGCAGACAACATACAGATAACATACAGACAACATACAGACAACATACAGACAACATACAGACAACATACAGACAACATACAGACAACATACAGACAACATACAGACAACATGCAGACAACATTCAGATACCATACAGACATCCGACATCCATGAACCCCTCCCCCCATGACCCCCCCACGACCCCACCCCACAGCCTCCATTATATCCCCGTGTAGACCAACAGCATACACTGCCGCTGCTAGTTGCACTTTTGGAGTGCGTCTGTCTAGTGGAGACAAGCGATGCCAGTGTGTTCCTGCCTATCTGCATTCACACCTTTTTTATACCTCACCAGTTTCAGGGCGTTGCCCTGTGTAAAGTGTGTGTGTGTGTGTATATATGTGTGTGTGTGTGTGAATGGGGCGTCATTAGAGTTATTTATTTATTTTTGCCAATTATATAAAATGCTGTATATATATATATATATATATATATATATATATATATATATATATATATATATATATATATATATATATATATATATATATGCACGAGCCCACAGTTCCAGGTATCGATTCTTTAATTAACCAGTACACTATAATCGTCCAGGAGTGATGTCAGTAGTCGATACCGAATCGATTAGTTCGCGGAAAAGGAAGTGACGTCACAGTCGTCAGCCAGGAGGAAGTGCCACAGACAGACGAGATCCCACGAGACTGGGGGAGGCCACGAGATTCCAGCGGGTCTCAAAACGGGAGGCGTCTGCCACTTTTTGAAATCTCGGCTCTCGTCTTTATTCCACGGTCAGGTTCATTTCAAAGTTTTAATTTCCCCGTCCGTTGTTGTATTTATTCATGTGTTAGCTGCCGACTGTTATCTATATAGCAACCCCCCCCCCTCCTGCCCCACCCCTAATCTTCTAATTCACCAGACGACATATCTGCTGGGTCTCAGGGAATGAGTTCCTGAACGGACGACAGCACACCACACGCCCACCAAACGTCCACCAAACGTCCACCAAACGCCCACCAAACGTCCACCAAACGTCCACACTCTACACCCCATACACCCACCACACTCTACACTCCATACGCCCACCACACTCTACACTCCATACGCCCACCACACTCTACACTCCATACGTCCACCACACTCTACACTCCATACGCCCACCACACTCTACACTCCATACGCCCACCACACTCTACACTCCATACGCCCACCACACTCTACACCCCATACACCCACCACACTCTACACCCCATACACCCACCACACTCTACACCCCATACACCCACCACACTCTACACCCCATACACCCACCACACTCTACACCCCATACACCCACCACACTCTACACTCCATACGCCCACCACACTCTACACTCCATACGCCCACCACACTCTACACTCCATACGCCCACCACACTCTACACCCCATACACCCACCACACTCTACACCCCATACACCCACCACACTCTACACCCCATACACCCACCACACTCTACACCCCATACACCCACCACACTCTACACCCCATACACCCACCACACTCTACACTCCATACGTCCACCACACTCTACACTCCATACAGGAAAACTACCAAGACGAGGCCAGGATGTACTAAAAATAACTACTCACTATTCACGTGCCTTAAACAACGGTTTCACCTGCACGATACTACCACGGTGAGTCACCAACACTCAAATCTATTTTTATCCACAGTAAACTAACACTTCACGTGTTTCTTAGCGCACATCCCAAACCGCTTTCTCCGCTTTTCCCCCAAGGGCGATCTAAAAATAAACCTAGTTTTTATCAACAAACCGGAAGTGGTGCTGGTCCGGTGGTCCGGTTGTCCGGCCCACGCGCCACTGACCACCACAAGAAGCTTCAAGGACGACCTTTACATTGCACGTCATGACTTATGGGGGGGGGGTGTTAGTGAGGGTGGGGGAAGACAGATTTGTTAACAAACTAAATTATTCCACATAATTACACACACACCCACCCACCCACCCGATTATTTCACATGATCTCACACCCTCCCCTCCCCACCCCATTATTTCATATTATGATCCCACACCCTCCCCGCGGTTAAAAAAGTTTCCACAGATTCAGCAACTGAAACCATCAACCCTCACACTCAAAACTTTTTAAATTATCGACGGCGTGCAACCCCACATGTGGCCGTGAGTCAACGAGCTTCAGCCCCCCACCCCCACCCCCACCCACCCCACCACCTTCTCTAGAGACGTACACGTGAACTGAGATTTACAACTCAGGAATTTCTCACCATCGAGATTTATCTCACTCGAGTATCTCATCATCGCACATAAACATCAGAGGATACCTCACTTCAGGCGCTAAAAATAAAACGGAAATCCCCGATAAAATGCACACCCAATGACCCCAGGGGACAAACAAAAACACGCATTTGGGGCTGAAGGTGCGAACTCATTGGCAGAGGATGATAGAAACATTTGGGACTGAAGGTGCGAACTCATTGGCAGAGGATGATAGAAACATTTGCTGGGTAGAGTACCCGTGCTGGGGGGGGGGGGGGGGGGGAAATCTTTCAAAAAGTAACTCCCACACACAGACTGTCGCCAAATGTGAAAAAAATGGATTTGTAAAATCTATTTTTAGAACTGCGTGTTGTAAATAAACAAATGGTGACGTCACACTTTTACCTGTCCATGCTTGCAGGTAGATCCACTGGATGATACGGTAGACCTCAACCCCACCCCAAAGATACGACTCTCCCAAATCTTCACAAAGATACAACTCTCCTAGATCTTCACAAAGATACGCCTCTCCCAAATCTTCACAAAGATACGACTCTCCTGGTGGGTGGGTCACACACACCTGGTGGGTGGGTCACACA